TTATGTGTTTACATCTAACCGTTGTGACTTTTTGTCTCACAGTTGTGAGAAGTAACCTCAGAATTTGGAAGAAAAAAGTCAGAATTGCGAGATGTAAACTAGCAATTGCAAGATATCAATTAGGAGAAAAAAAAACTCAGAATGGCTGGTTTATAACTTGCAATAGCAATTTTGAGAAAAAAAAAAAAAGTCTGAATTATGGGATATAAACTCCCAACTGTGAGAATAAAACTCAATTGTGAGATAAAACCTTTTTTTAAGAAGATGTTTAGACATGTCTGTGGCATTTGTTTGACAATGCTTTCCTTCAGGACAAAGTTGAACTTAATGTTTTGCCGATTTTCAAGGTGTTCCAAAACTGGTCACCAGAATCTGAGGTCTGTGAAAAGGCTTTTGGTAAAACATAGCGCAGGGAAGTTCACTTTGATATCTGTGTGTGACACTTTTAGAGTGAGGTTGTGTGACGTTGAGTCCTCCTCACACTGTGACTGAGTGACCCAGCTGGCATACCAGCACAGTGTTTCTAAATATCCCAGCGCACCAGGCCTTTGCTCTCTCCTGAACTCTGAACTTCTGCCATGCCGTCACAGTCAACAAATATAAAGTATTTATGGAGCAGACAGCAACTGCCCTTTACCCTTTCCGCTTTATACGTTTTACTAAAGAACTTTAGTCATTAAAGAGAAAAAAGCAAGGGAAGGCGTGCAGTGTGGGACTCTCTATTTGAGGTCTAATTCAGTGTGTTTATGTGAGTGATCCTCAAGGGATCTCAGCAGGTGGCTGATTACAAGAGATTTGCTGGTAATGTGCAAGTCATGCCAAAGGCCTTCCATTCTCAAACCACAGTCGAGAGACAGCAACAGTGATGTATGGAATAAGCCTATGGAGCCCAGAATGGCATTATTGAAAACCTGGTAGGATTGTATTTTTATTTTTATATTTAATTAATCAATTAAATAATGGTTGGGGGAAGCAAAAGAAAAGTTGCATATAAAAATAAAGTAAAATAAATTGTTGTGTTGATATTTTGATAACATGTGTTAAATTAGAAAAACAAACCAGAAAAGTAAAACTCACACTAAAGGAGTTATGAGTAAACAAACAAACAAACAAACAAACAAATAAATAAATACGTTTTTAAATTTGAAAAAATAAAACATACTAAAAGAGTTGTGTGTTCTACGCAAATAAATAAATACTTTTCTAAATTACAAATATAAAACATACTAAAAGAGTTGTATACTTTGCAAATAAATAAATAAACAAAAAACAAAGACAACGTAGAAAAATAAATAAAAAAACATACTAAAGGAGTTATGTTATGCTTCATGCAAATAAAAATAAATAAATACTTGAGGGCAAAATTTATTATCTTTTGTTTTGTGAAAAGAGGTATATAAATAATAAGCATGGTAATAAACGTAAATAAAGTAATCAGTTTTTTGGTTGTATTTTATATAACATTCCATTTTATTCCATTATTTATTATTATAGGCTATAAAATATGTGACCCTGGACCACAAAACCAGTCACAAGTGTCAAACTGAGACATCTTATCCTTTCCATTTCCATTAAATGGCTTTCCATTGATGTACGGTTTGTTAGCATAGGAGGACAATATTTGGCCGAGATACAACTATTTGAAAAATCTGGAATCTGAGGGTGCAAAAAAAAAAATCAAAATATTGAAAAAAAAATCGCCTTTAAAGTTGTCCAAATGAAGTTCTTAGCCATACATTTTACTAATCAAAAATTAAGTTTTGATATATTTACGGTAAAATATCTTTACTTAATATACCCTAATTATTTTTGCATAAAAGAAAAATCAATCATTTTGACCCATACAATGTATTGTTAGCTATTGCTACACATAAACCCGTGCTACTTATGACTGGTTTTGTGGTCCAGGTCACATATGTTATCAATTACTCATCCTTCTCAAAGTTCAGATGTGTTTTCTCACCTGACACCTCTACAAAACCGTCTTTAGTTTTGACATTAAGCTCCTCAGGTCTGAAGCTGTGCACGTTCACGCACACTTTCCACGACTCGTCTGGGTTGGTCAGGGGAGCGCTGGATCGGCGCGGACCCTCGCTGCATCTGGCGCTGAAGCCCCGCGGGAAGCCCGTGCTCAACGGGCCCGTCCACGGCGCGTCAAGGCGGGTGCTCAGTCGAGGTCTTGCCCAGCCGGGCCAGTCCATAGATAACTCGTCGTCAAAAGGTGGCAGTCCAAAGTCATCGTCCATAAATCGAGAAGCGAGCGACTGTTCACCAAACGGATCCCTTGGAATCCTCTGTCGGTTGCCCATAGTGTAGTAATCCCCTTCTGCCATGGTGAAACTAGGAAAAAAGTGACTTTAGAGAACTTTTCTTGTTCAAAACGTCGCGTTCCTGTCAGAAGTCCGAAATTAATCAATTATCAAAAAGAGCGCAGTTTGAAAAAAGTCTCTAGGCGCGTAATTACGCACCCAAGTTTACGCGTAACACTGCGCGCTGGTGTAGGAGTTCTAGAAGTTTACTGACGACGTAAGCTCTTTCCACTGGTTTATATGTGATTTACCGGTCGACAAAGTCCAGAAAGTGCTCGGCGGTACACGACAGCTGACTGAAGACCCTCCCTATCCAAGTTTAGACCCCAGGCTGTGACTGCCTCCACCGGACAGCGACTGGTCCAATATCACCCTCCCCCAGATGACTCATTCACTTCATAATAGAAAACTACTCACTCCTCAAGGCCGGAGAGGAGTCACACACTCATATGAAGAACACTAACACGAAATGCAACAGAGGCATGCGGTATCTGCTTCTCCTTCTTCAGATGAGTCCTTGCATTCGTCATGAAGAGTAAAGCTGAAAGATGAGCAAGAAAAACATGCAACAAGTTGTATTTCAGGAAGTCTTCTATCCGCTGGAAAGTATGCAGTGGCACAAAAAGCCTCACTTTAAATGTAATTTCATGAGACAACAAAATATCAAACCAACTGATAATTATTTGATCGAAATATAGCACTTTTCTGACAGGAAAAAATGTATATATAAACTGCATACAATTTCAATTTGCACATTTGTTAATGTTACTGCTGCAATTATTATTATGTAGTTGCACTCAAATTGCTAAAGGTTACTGTTCTATTATTTTGCACATAAGTCAATATTGCACACTCGCACATACAGATGTACATAGTCTATATTTCTATATTTACATATCTATATTTCTACTTCTGTAACATAGCTGTACTTTTATTATCTTTGTGTGTTTTTAGTTTTTACATAGTTTGCACTTGTCTTGGCATTTACTGTGGACAGCAGTTTAATTGTACAGCGAAAGTTGTATTTCCTCACTGTGCACATGATAATAAATGCTTTGAATCTCGAATCGCACAATTATTTTATCCACTCTGGGTGACTCAACTTACCCCACTCATGAATACAAAGAAATAACTTCAGTGTGAATAAAGAGAGTGCAATTTTAAAGAAGCAAAATACTGGGTGAATTAATTAGATGAATAATTTATTTAGAACTCTTTGAATATCATTACATATTCAGACCACAGAGAACTAGTCATTAATTTACTTTAGCAAGGGAGACATTGATATTCTTGTGCACATCGACAACAGTGTACATACATTGTAGAATAGGGGAAATTGGGGAATGTTCCTGACATAATCGTCGTCCTGCATTGAGAATTTTAACTTTGCGCTAAAACACAGACTTGCTTGTTTTACATCTTCACAGCTCATTCTGTGCAAAAATAAATGAATTACTCATATTACAGGTGTTTGCAATAATTTTTGCAACTACAGAAGCCAGATTCGGTGAAATAGGTTGGATTCATGGCAACATTTCAGTTTTGTTTTGAGGGAATGCAAATTATGTCAGTTAGAAAGCCAGCCTTGTAAACAGTCAGTACCACTACTCCATCTCAATAAATAAAGCCCATGCCTAATATTGCCGCACTAAACGTTGGCATATTTACACAACGGATTTACATAATCATTTACTAAACTCATTTACGGTTTGAGAACAAGATGATAAAACATTTGTGATATACTTTCACGTTTTTCCTATACGTATACTTTCGTTTATTATCTGTACAAGTGTCAGAATTCACAACAGTCAGACAGCTACTAATGTACAGTGCATAGAGATCACCATGCCTTCATTTAACAAGCACTCCAATAGACTTTATGACACAGAAACAAAGAAGCTGCCATCATCTGTCATGATGAAGGTGATGATTTTTACACGTCGTTTCATCAAGCGGTATGGCACACCAAATATATATCTTTGATCCTTTGAAAAAAAGACTGATTTCTTATGACAGCCATCTTCATTTCTCCCGGTCTGTAATAGTTTCTCTGCTGTTGCACTGATGTGCAACCAATAAATATGCTTTATAAAACATTCATATTTATAAACATCATCGTGTGTGATTTAATAAGTGCAGGACTGGATGTTTAAACTGTGGGGTTTGGAGGAAAACGAACAGAAACAAGTCAGAAATAAATGATACAAGCAAAAAAGTTTTTCTATGTGAATATCAAAGGTCTTACCTTATAAATAATTCAAGAGATCTAAATAATAAATATTCGAACCACACTCAGAAATGATCGCAGATAAAAAAAAAAAAATTTAAAAAAAAGAGCAATAAAAGAATAAATAATTTAAAAATAATATACAATTTAACATGGCTCAAGGGTTGTGCATTTCAAAAATTACATAAGAATAATCATAATAATTAATTGTGACCCTCTCTGTGAAATCCAGGCTAAAGTCTCAAAATCTAATTATCAGATAACAAGCATCAAAGTTTGATTTTAACCATTAATTTCACTATGATTTCAATCGTTGACATGGCCTTACTCAGTCAATATTAAAGATATAAAGGTTATATTTTCACAGAATGTTCTACATCTTTATGAAGGATGATTTTATGTAGAAAACAGCAAATCACAAAAACAACAACAAAAAAAAAAATGTGATGGTACCACGAGGCGTCGCTCACTAGCGGATCTCAGACTTTAGCTGTGTTTTCACAGGCAGGGTCATAATTATAGCAGTGCTTTGAATCTCAGAAACAACAGGACAGGGAAAATTTACCTTTTCTTTGTTCACTCAGACGCAGCCTCGAATCCTACAGATAAAAATATCTTTCTATCTCTTGAGGTCTGCAAGATTAATATGTACGTTAATGTATTTGGTAACGCCTGGACCCGCAAAACGGTTCCCACCAGTGGAGCACATCCGCTGCGTTTTGATTGTCCACCACCACCATCATCACCATCTCCATCACAGCCAGTGACATTTGAATTGTTTTCCAGTTCAACAGAAGATAAATAAAGCTGGCATTTGGGCTGATGGGGTGTGCGTTTGCCAGTGGGGCCGATTCGGATGGCACATTTTTCAAAGGTGTGGGCAACACAGAAGCAGCTGCTATGGAAGCAATAAATCTCTCTCCTCAAGCACTTCTGACATCTCCTATAAAAAAGAGAAACACTAGAAAAATACGATAGATTCTTACATGGGTTTTTACGGTCAAGGCTATGAGCGTCTGGTGAGCGACCCTGCACTTCCTTTTATCTACCACGTCAGTTTTGATAAATGACTAACAATATCCTCACACCTATGAGCAAAACAAGGAATAGCAGAACTCACAGATTGAATTTCCCGGTCCGGTCTTTCCTACAACAGCAGGCTTTGTGATTGATTGACAAGTTTTCCTTTGAACGGGATGGATGAAAGCACACAGTTTAGTACACAACAATATGGAAAGCTTCAGTCTTATCTGACACTGAACAGATGATCCTGTCACTGCCTGGTGTTCCACATCTAAGCACAGCATGTTCTCAGCGCCGCTCCATTCCACTTCCAGTTACAGTGAGATGTGGTCCTGGGATTGTGCTGTAGCTCAGCATTCTGGCATCTGGTTCTTCTGTAAATTAGCGACGGGCTCTGCTGTAGCTCACTACTGAGTCATAGCTTCTGCTCCGACTGCGACTGCGTCTGCTGTACATATAGTTCCACGACGAGCTGCGACTGTAGCTCCTGTATGACGAGTAAGTGTGACTGCGACTGCGGCTGCGACTCCGTGAACGGCTGCGACTGAGAGTAAACAGACGCCAGGACAAGAGGCTGGAGGATCGGCTGCTGACGGAGGGACTGGGACGGTAGTAGGGGACCGGCCTCTTTCTGGCACTGTGCAGGAAAGAGAATACAAACAATGACATGTTAATACATCATTCTGAATGGGGAAAATGTCACAAAGTAGCTGAAGTTGTCCGCACACTGAGAACATATAATCCGGCCAAAAAAGGTCTATCAAAAATATATTTTATTTTCCATATGCAAAAGTGAAAAAGTCAAGTGACAAAAAAAAGGAAAGCATGGGCTGAAATGTCTGCTCTTTGGTCTGTTTTTAAGACGCTTTGCACTTTTGTCACTTTTTCACTTTTGCGTATGGAAAATAAAATATATTTTTTATATACCTTATTTGGTCGGATTATATTTTCTCAGTGTGTTTCTCAACTTTAGCTACTTTTTTTACGCATCTGACAATTAATAATATAATAATACAGAAGTTACATAGATTAAGGGATATAAAATCCTGCCTTCAACAGATTTTTCTAAATACCTATTATTATTCTCCTTTAGGAAAAGAATAATTAGATGTTAGATTTTTTTTTGAAGAAATGAATACATATGTTCAAAAAAGATGCATAAAATTGATCAAAAGTGGCAGATTTTTTTTTTTTATGAAAGATAAAAAAAGATTTCTATATCAAATAAATGATGTTCTTTTGAACTTTCATTTTATCAACAAAAAAAAATTCTATAGAAAAAAATAATCAAGGAATAAAAAAATTAAAAATAATTAAAAAAATAATATTTTTAATAATATTAAGAAATATACTTTATCACTCGGTTTTACTATTGTAATTAAATGTTTCCTCTTTTTCATGACTCTGTTGTATAGTTGTATATCTTTATACTTTGTCATGTTTTTTATTCCTTTCACATGCATGTTAGTGTTTTTTTGGCAAATAAAAAATGCTTATCACAAAAAAGAGAAATGTTTCTTGAGCACCAAATCAGTATATTATTGAATAATTAATTTGTTTCTCTTGAGGATGCAAGCAGAAAGAATTGGAATGCTGACATTCCTGCCACTGGCATTTTAATTTGTTAAATATATTTGCTAATTTGATAATGCCTTCAGCTTCCAATTAGAATTCTATTAATATATTCTTAGCTCAGTTTCAACATTTTACAGTGTTTAAATCAATTCTGCAGTTTTCCACAGATTTGCCCACACAATCAGTAAACCCAGATCTCCAAAGAAAGATCGGCGGAGCAGTTTCCATTTGTTAGCTTGTATTGTAACACTAGTAGTTCTGTAAGAACAGACCTCGTAATTCTACGGGCTTCCAGGTGACTGGGGGAATCTCTTCTTCTCTTCCTCATTGGAGAGCAAGGTCTTCTCCTGCTGTGCTTTCTACTCTTGCAGGAACTGCAGTGTCTTTTCCGCTCTCGAAACCTTTTCATCCACACATGAAAGAGATGTGAGCACGTATGTCTTAATTAATGTTGCAGTCATCGTCAAACCATTATTTTAGATAAAACACTTCTTCTTTTAGCTGAAATTCACCTGTCTAGTGTGCACCGTGAGTGATTTAAACTGCGGTGACTGCTCGCACTAGACAGACTGTCTCTCCGAGAATCCAGTGAATAACTGGATGAACGGGAATATGATCTATAAATGAGCCGAGGGAGATGATGCTGTCAGATACAAAAATACCAGTTTGCAACTAAATCGAAAGCTTCAAATCAGAGTTGTGTTTTCTATAATGAATGGCAGCTGTGTGACCCACCTTCTCCCTGAGGACAGAGATCGGCTTCTGGAATAGCGCCCTGAGTATCTGCTTTGGGATGATATGCTTCTGCTGCGGGACCTCGCTCGATCTTGATATCTATCATAAGACAGACTCCGATTCCTATCAGTGGCGACACCCAGGGGCTTTGTCTTCCCCAAATCAGAGCACGTGCCCACTTCTTCACTGCAATTATAAGAGGATTATTATTTTTTTTATTATTATGATTGTATAATTAATTATACATTTTATAATTATTATAGTTATTTTTATTTACTTTATTACTTCACAATATAATAGGAGACCTGCATAGTTGCAGAAAGAGACTGCACTCTGTACCTGGGTTATTATAGTTAACGAAAGCTAAAACTAGGGTTGGGTATCATTTGAATTTTATCGATTCCGATTCCGATTCTGCTTATCGATTCCGATTCTTTTCGATTCCCAGTTTCGATTCCAATGTGATTAAATAATGATATCAAACATTTGTCCTGTGTCTCTTTTTTGCAAACCATTTATTTTAGCTGAATACCATGAACAAAAATCAACAGGCTACATAAAAACTGGACTCTTTAAGAGCGGTTTGTGTGCAAAATACAACTGCATGATTCTGGATAAATTGAGTTTTTTTTTCTTTTATTTTTTTCCCCAATGGAAGTTGTGGTTCTCTCATGATTCTGAAGAAAAAACATTAGACAACTAAACAAAATCACATGTAATTTATGAATGAATGATTCAATGACTCACTCAAGATGTACTTGTTTCATTACTGGATGAATCAGCGTTCTTGAACGAACCTCTTGTATGATTCAAAGACAAATACATTTTAACAACCCCTTTTCGCCACCTACTGGCGTAACAGTGTAATCGATAAATCTTCATTTGAAGCGTAAAATTACTTTCAAAAGGTGATTTACTCCATTTTAATCGCTACCATACACATCATACACACACTGTAAAAAATGACCGTGAATTTAACGGTAAAAGACTGTACTGTATTGGACATTAATTTTACGGTAGTATACCGTTTTTGGAAGTGGAAAAGACCGTATAATTTACAGTGATTAACCGTAAATTGACGTTCCCAGAATTCCCTGCGTAACATTTCAAATTTGATGTTTTTTTTGGGAAATAACTATGTTTCTTCTTAGTTTTTTCTTATCAGTTTTCAGATCAGAAAAGAGAGAAAATAACCTACAAGAATAAACTTCCAGCTACTTTTATGTTAGAAGAAAGAGAGAGTAAAAGGAAACAGAAATCCCCAATTTGAAAGCACTTTTCCTTTAAAGAACATTGAACAGACATCACAGAATGGGCTTAAGTAAAAAAATATATATAATTATATGAAAAGGGTTGCAGACAAAAGAAATATCTCCATCACTCTAACTAGGTAAAATCCTTGAGAAAAACAAAAAGAACATGTTTCTGCTTTAGTCCTCTGTCGGAAGAGATTTTACAGTCCACCAGCGGCCTACAATAAGTCCCTAAATCTGCGGATAGCATCGACTTACCAATCAAGACTTCCTCCTTAAGTAGGTAAGGTGTAAGAAAAAGGGAAGAGCGGGTGACATAAGTGCATCATTAGAGTGGTAAAGTGCAAGAAAAAGACAATAACCCTCTCTTCTTTAAATCCAACTCCGCTCTGCCACATACCGGCATGAGCCTTTTTCTTTACCTTTGTTGTGCACCTGTAGGTCTTAAATGAGTTCTCATTTTCTGTTGTGGGACTGATGGAACAAATTCAAACAGACTCTGCATCCTTCGTGGAAAATGGAAAGAAGCTGCTAAACTTCAATAAAGTTCTAGTTTGCTACAGTGGTGCAAAAAGCAATCAAACTCTGGTTTGTGGTAGAATTTGCACAACTCTGACAGAGCCCGGTGGTTGTTTGTAATGATCGAGCTGTGAAGTGAGACTGACACAATTATGCGCAGGTTATGTATAGATCATCAGCTTTTTGCAAGCTTCAGTATATGAAACAAACCGCACCAGAGCAAAGCATGCTTTACTTAAACAGAAAAAGGCCACTGCTAACCAACTGTGCAATAAAATGTATCTAAAAAATACAAAAACTAATTTTTCTTCAAAAGAGAAACTTTTCAAAGACATTTATGTAATGTATGTTTTTTTAAACATTTATGTATGTTTAAAAGATTAGAGAATGCAATTAGTGTAACTATAATGATTATGTCAGGAAAAGTGATTTATCTTCTGCGCATACAGACCATCACCAAAGGCTTCAAAGCCATGATACAAAAGTTTATTTAAAAGCTTACTGAAAATAATGTTAGAAAATCCATGATGCAGTATATAGGTTTATGTTAATTATTAACATTAAATTAGGACATTATATGACCACTCCCCTGGACTATGTTCTTTAGTGATGGTGAACTTTTATTTATTGAATGATGTTTGATATTTCTGCTCGGAGTGGATGCAGTTAGTTGGAGTGTGGCAGTAGGTTGCATGTCGCTTTTAAAAAGTGTAATTACTGAGACCGGAAAACACTCGAAAAGCACTCTCATTAAAAAGTTAATTAACTTAAGTTTAAATTGTGTGTCAAGCATGTGTGCAATATGCAAATCTCATGTTGGTCAATGGTGATTATTGTTCCCATTAAAAAAGGACTGTAGAAAAACTTCATCTGTGAGAATTAAAAATGCTATGCCTTTATGCTTAACTATGGCTAGCTTCAATCCAAATCCTACCCAGTTATTGTAAAAGAACTAAAAAACATGCAAAAAGTCACATAAATCACAATAAATATTTTTCCATGGAGGAAAAATTTGCACTTGCTGATTTTAAAATCCATTAGTTTAACAGATACGTGTACAACTTTTGTCGTCTTGACACCTATTAAGCAAAAAGAATCAATGGTTTCACGAGAGCCGTAAACTGAGCAAGAGTTTGGCATTGTAAGCGCATCAGGTAGCCATCAGAAACACTTACGGTGCTTTCAGAAAAGTGGCAGCAGCACTTAGAGGAGATTTTACTGGTCAGCTTGATTGCCGACCTGCATGCGTTGCCTCCATGGACAGCTGATGAATGGCCACCGTCTTGCAAACCAGATTTTTCACAATCTTCATATCTACATACACAAAGCAATTGAAATCATTGTTAACGGCCCCTTCACCTCAAGGAGGAATTAAAATATTCATATTCACATTAAATATACATAATACTGTAAGTAGAACCAGTTCAGCTTATCAAGATAATGCTCACAGCACCTTTACAACAGTAACAATAAAATCATAATGTGGGACAGCGAAGGTATAACAGTCATTCGTCAGTTTTCCCTTTCTACAGTATCTGGGCAGTGAGGTGGAAAGGTGAATCCTCCACAGGTTAACATATGGAAAATGATCGGCTAGTTCCTCTGATCTGCACGCGCTTAAGGTGGAATAAAACGGTTTCCTATGAAAGGACGTGCCAATTATACCAGCTCAGGACATATATTATCTGTAATAGGTCTTTGTGAAGTGAATGAGGATTCACCAGAATGGGAACTGATGGCCATTGTTCCTGTTGTGTGGCGTGAGTGGGCTCTCTGTGCCTTTTAAACTCCTGAAACCATGTAAAGCTTCACTGTGCTTGCTTTCTATAATGATTTCGTCCTTTGAATATCCCTAAGAAATTCCAAATAATGGAGAGATCAGTTAGGGATTTAAAAGCAATCATCTCCAGTTTAAGATTATTTCAATTTGAAACCTGAGTGCGTTTTTCTCCGGTCTTGAAAATGGCAGAAATTCTGTGATGAATGAATGAGAGCGGCTTTTGTATGAAGGACTGATGAAGTAATCAGTTCGGTGACACCTGGGAGAGCATTTGAGGCCAATTTAATGCATGAAAAACTGTGTCTGTGATTACTCTGATGTGTTCATCTAATTCAAAATGTATTTTAAAAAATACGCCTTTGACCCAGTACAAAATGGTCTTATTTTACATCTCATAAACTACCCTCATTTGTGCAATAATGAAGCGTGTACTTCAACATCCTAACTTGTTTGAGCATTTGTCATAATCTCTGTACATGGGCAATCAGCAGGATTGACATTTATATGCTTTACAGGCAATCTTCACTGACACCTACTATCAAAGGAAACAGATTTAAACCTGAAACTTTATTTCAACACTATTCCCTGTAGTGCTCCATCTCTACAGTACCTCAACCCCATCACCCCACAACCCACTCCAAAGAGGCGCAACCGTCCACGGGTGCGAGATCTCAAATTTCAATCCCTTTCCCGTTCCATTGATCTACACGCCAAATGTTGGACATCAGCTGTGAGAGGCAGATAAAAGAGTTTCCTCTGTGTCACCTCTACCTTTATCAGTCATCGCCACAGTGCCACCGGACGCTCACTGATAAGATAAAAAACCTGACTGGCCAGCATGAAGCCATAAATATCTCTGGCCGCTCAACATTCTCCGAAAAAAAGAAAAAAAGAAAATGTTTTAAAATGTTTGGAACGGTCATTTAAAATGTTCTGAACACGAATGTTCTAATCCGTATGAATGTGGGAATGTGCAGGTGATTGAGCGTGCTTACAAACTTCTATTCTATTCTATTCTATTCTATTCTTACTTGAATTTTACTTAGATCATTAAATTTGATGTTATAATGCCACTGACAGACTGGAAAACATAGCAGCTGCCTTCGGTTTTAGACTCTCTATTCTATTCTATTCTATTCTATTCTATTCTATTCTATTCTTACTTGAATTTGTTTTAGATCATTAAATGTGATGATATAATGTCACTGATAGACAGGACAACATAGCAGCTGTCCTCGGTTTTAGACTCTATATTCTATTCTATTCTATTCTTGCTTGAATCTGTTTTAGATCATTAAATGTGATGTTATAATGCCACTGATAGACAGGACAACATAGCAGCTGGCCTCGGTTTTAGACTCTCTATTCTATTCTATTCTATTCTATTCTTGCTCGAATCTGTTTTAGATCATTAAATGTGATGTTACAATGCCACTGATAGACTGGACAACATAGCAGCTGCCTTTGGTTTTAGACTCTCTATTCTATTCTATTCCATTCCATTCCATTCCATTCCATTCTATTCTATTCTATTCTATTCTATTCTATTCTATTCAATTCTATTCCATTCTATTCTATTCTATTCTATTCTTACTTGAATTTGTTTTAGTTCATTAAATGTGATTTTATAATGTCACTGATAGACAACATAGCATCTGACTTCAGTTTTAGACTCTCTATTCTATTCTATTCTATTCTATTCTATTCTATTTTATCATATTATATTATATTCTTACTTGAATTTGTTTCAGATCATTAAATGTGATGTTATAATGCCACTGATAGACAACATAGCAGCTGCCTTCAGTTTTAGACTCTCTATTCTATTCTATTCTATTCTATTCTATTCTTACTTGAATTTGTTTTAGATCATTAAATGTGATGTTGTAATGCCACTGATAGACTGGACAACATAGCAGCTGCCTTCGGTTTTAGACTCAGCCATGGAGTTCATTTACATTTGGCCTCCTCCCAATTAATCAGTCGTAAGGTCACCACTGTACCTGTTTGCCATGCAGAAAGAACTCCAAATTTCTGCTTTCCGGCGCCGGTGTCTGCGATGAGAGTGGCTCCTTGCCCTGAAGGGTAACCAATAGAGACATGCATGCAGAGAATTAACTATCTCACCCGCATATTGTGCTATTTTGTGCTGGAACAGCAACATCAAGACTCAAATTTACATTACATTCCCATTACACCTCTTATCTTATCATAGCAGTGATAGATAGAGAAAGAGAGCGCAAACAGTGAGTGAAAGAGTAATTACAATGTCATAAGACAATAAAAAACGTGACAACACCCTAGCAAGAGTCAGAGCTTTTTGTGTGAATGTCTCTGAAGTGTTATAATTTAATGTGGCACATGTAAAACAGTGTTAATTGAGTCTGAAATGGAGACAGTTTAGTCGCACGTTCAGTAGTTGAGTGCAGAATTACATGAGATTGCTGAGTGATTTCAATTAAAGTTTAAAATTGAATTCAGCTGCCCAACAAACTATGCATTATGAAAGAGCAGACCATGTTTAATAGCTTGATGTAAAATTAATACAAATTAAACAGCAGATTTACAGCTAGTAGATTCCATTAAGAGATAAATATTAAGGTGTTGTTTTTGAGTACTGTTTTGTATATATATATATATATATATATGTATATATATATATTTATATAGGCTGTATAAATTAATGCCATTACTGATTCTATGTTTTGAGGACAGTGATAAGGATCTTAATATACAGTTTTCACAACGTTTTGGGACATCTCAAGTCAACTTTAAACAG